AGCAAATTACGAGTCTACGGCGAAGCAGCGTTACACCTGCAGATCGGTCCTCTTCGCTGGAAACCGACCCTACCCGTCACCAACATCAAAGGTCTATACTTGATTCTTGGGAGAGATTTTCTGAAGAAGTTCAACCCCGAGATCAACTGGGCCACCCGCACGGCGAGTATCTACAATCAAGACAGAAGAGTTCCTCTTCCGAATTGGAGCAACACGGGAGATATTCCGGAGGAGACTCTCGCACGCTTCGAGAAGGACGTGAAACGAACCATGGCAGGGTTTGTTGCACTGGTTACCAACGAGGACGAAGGAGAGAGAAAAACGCTCGAGCTTCCACCAGCAATCCAGAAACTTCTAGAAGAGTTCGAAGACGTTCTCCCTGACGACCTTCCAGACCAGTTGCTGCCATACCGAACCCACCAGCACGAGATCATCGAAGAACCTGGTTCAAAACCGACCTTCCGAGCACCATATCGACTCAGCCCAACCGAGTTGGCCGACATGAAGAAACAGATCGAGTACCTTCTGGACAAAGGACTCATTCGACCATCAACATCACCATACGGTGCACCAGTGCTTTTCACACCAAAACCTGACGGAAGCTTACGCATGTGCATCGACTAACGAGCCCTCAACAAGCAGACGATCAAGAACAAGTATCCGATTCCACGGATCGACGATCTACTTGACCCGCTTCGTGGAGCCACGGTATTCTCAAAACTCGATTTGAGATCGGGATATTGGCAAATCCGGATGGCGGATAACTCCATCCATAAGACGGCGTTTCGGACATGATACGGATCCTACGAGTACCTTGTCATGACGTTTGGACTCACCAACGCACCCGCTACATTCCAGGCCGAAATGAACCATATACTCAGGCCTCTACTCGACGAATGCGTGGTGGTGTACCTAGACGACATCCTGATCTACTCGAGGGACATGAAGCAGCACATCGAACACCTGCGACGTGTCTTCGAGATACTTCGACGGGAGAAGTTCTACGTCAAGCTATCCAAGAGCGAGTTTGCCTTGAAGAAAGTTCAGTTCCTTGGACACATGGTGAGCGCTCAAGGAGTCCATGTCGACCCAAAGAAGATCGAAGCCGTACGTACGTGGAAGACACCGGAGAACGTATGCGAACTACTATAATCGGTTCGTGCCACAGTATGCGAAGATTGCAACACCTCTCACCAATCTACTGAAGAAGAATACACCGTTCAAGTGGGAGGATGTGCACCAGCAAGCCATGAAGCACTTGAAGACCGCACTCACGTCCGCACCCGTCCTGATCCTGCCAGATCCAGAAAAAGACTACGTCATCGAAGCTGACGCTAGCGACCAAGCAGTTGGAGCAGTCTTGATGCAAGACCAAGGGAAAGGACTACAACCAATCGCTTACCTCAGCAAGAAATTGCATGGGGCAAAACTCAACTACCCGCTTCACGACAAAGAGGCCTTAGCGATCATCACTGCATTCAAGACATGGCGATGCTACCTCGAAGGGAGAAAGACCACGGTCTACACTGACCATTGCAGCCTGAAGTACCTGAAAACGCAGCCGACCCTCTCCAGACGACAAGTCAGGTGGATTGACTTCCTCGAGACGCACTTCGACTACGACATCGTGTACAAGCCGGAACACAAGAATAAGGCAGATGCACTGAGCCGGCCTGGACACGTTGCTCCCATACAGATTGAGGGGATGAATCCGCTACTCAAGGGACTCTTCACGCACGGGTATACCATCGACCCTGAGATTCCCTTGGCAGAGAAAAAGAAATTGTTGCAGTGGGACCACGACGTCGCACTACGCAAAGGATCAACAAAGATATGGGTACCCAACTACCCGCCTCTTCGGCAGTTGCTTCTCGAAGAATTCCATGACGTGCTCTACGCTGGACACTTCGGGAGTAACAAAACTCTTGCCGAGATTGCGAAAGTCTACTATTGGCCTAACATGGCGGACGACGTGCAGAAGTTCGTCACTTCGTGCGACACATGCCAGCGGATGAAGAGCAGTAAGCAGAAGAAAGCAGGACTTCTTCAGCCTCTATCCGTCCCGGAACAGCCTTGGCAAGTGGTCAACTTGGATTTCAACACCGGTTTACCACCTACCAACGCGGGGCATGACGCCATCCTGGTCGTCATCGACAAATTCTCAAAGATGGGACACTTCATTCCGACACATACAACCGCACGCACGGAGGAAACGGCACAGCTATTCCTCAAACACATCATCTCACAGCACGGGATCCCAACAACCCTCATATCCGACAGGGACCCCAAGTTTACTAGCAAGTTCTGGAAAGAGCTCATGTCGCTCATGTGGACACGCCTAGCAATGTCATCTGCATATCATCCCTAGACCGATGGGCAGACAGAGCGCTTGAACCAAATTGTGGAACAACTCTTGCGCGCAGCATGCAAGGACGACATTAACAAGTGGAACTTGCACTTGCCGGTGTTGGAGGTCGCCTACAATAATGCAAAGCATGCCGCAACAGGAGAGACCCCATTCTTCCTCTGTTACGGTCGACATCCGCTAACTCCTCAACAGCCGACAGTACCTGCAACTGTCCAACCCGCGCACGACTTCGTTACCACAATGCAGCAGCTTTGGGATCGGACACACAAGCGTCTACAGGACATACAGACTTCACAAAAACGCTTGGCCGATCGCCATCGACGTGATCATACCATTGCGGTTGGTGACCATGTGCTTCTCGACACATGCAACCTCAACCTCGGTCACCTTCCATCCAAGTTACGACCTCGCTTCTATGGACCTTTTCTCGTAGAAGAGCAGGTCACTCCAGTCACATTCCGCTTGCGCCTACCAGCTACTTGGAAGATTCATAACGCCTTCCACGTGCAGCTTCTTAAACCCTATCGAGATCCAAATAAGCTGTACACGGGACGCCAACATCCGCCGCCGCCTCCAGTCCTCGTGAATGATGAACTTGAGTACAAGGTTGAATCTGTGCTTGCACATTGTCGTCGTCGGCATGGCGCCCTGGAGTTTCTCATACGCTGGAAGGGCCATGATCCTTCTGAGGACAGCTGGGTCTCTGAAGAAGACATAAGTAACGCCCGACGTTCTCTCCGCGACTATCTTGTCAAGCAGAGTGTTACATCTACCACCCAGCTTTGAGGGGGGGAAGTGTGAGAGTACGCCGACGTTCGACATATTTCTCATTTCCATATTTCTACTCCATCTTATTCTCCTTATTTTCTCTTTCATTTGCACTTTATTTCACCTCAATCGGACTACTATTCTATTTTCTAGAGCTTTCCGATTATTTCACTTATTTGGTATTTTCGGCACCGACATTTACATTATACGGCACCGACAGCACCGACAGTGTTGTACAAGGCGTAATCTCGCCATAATCCGAAGTGCCAATGGGCTTGCGTGCTTATGTGCACTTGTGATTATCTATTCTAGAAGAGCGCGTTCCCGAAGGTTCGGATTATCTGTTGATTCTATGTATTTCCGAGTATAAATACGCCTTGTACTCACCTTTAGTGCAACATTCTCGAGTGGAAATTCGATCCTGTGACACACCCTGAGCTTGCTTTGCTCTTCTTGACTGGTCTTGTGACCTCTTGTTCTCCCCCACTTTACCCATGGGGGTGTGTCAAACTTATATATACTATTGCCTGTGTAGGCTGTAGTGGGGTAGATAATATAGGGTACGACATTTTAGGTTTACTACTTGTACCCACCTCTTTCCTAGTGCATTCATTCCTCGTACTTTTCTTACAAGCTGCTCGCAGCTCGTCAATCAGTTCGTCGGCTCAGGGGATGGGGTATCGCGATTTGAGTGTTACCCTATCAATGCGAAGTAGTTGATACATATTCGGAACCCTCCGTTTTTTTTTTTTTTCTTCGGTGAGAGCAGTATCGGTGCGACAAACGATGATGAGCTGGGTCGGATGAACCTTTTTCTCCAGTAAAATGTCGAGGTTGGGAAATGTCGAGGCGGAGGACCGTAGTGCGGGTTACCAACTGAACCGTGAGGTTGGGTCGCGATGTGTACAGTGGCGGGAACAGTGTTCGAGGCAAGTTTCGCCAGCGGGTAACGTTTTACTGTTGGGTACTCTTGGCGGGAATAGTCGTGTACGTGGTAAGGGCGTGCCTTTTTTTTTTCATGTTTTTTTCGGACTGTCCACTTGTATTGAATCGGATGGTCCCACTATCAGGTACTGGACAATCCGTTTTGAAATTTCGATACGTCAGTCTGTTCGAATGCAAAGACGTCACTTTTCTCAACTTACTGCCGATGTAATGTAGACTCGCGAGAGGTACTGTAGTATCGTAACCTTGTTCAAACGGGCGTCGCGTACCTGTGTCAGCATTGTTCATCTGCCCGTTTGCATTTCGAACTGCCGAATGTTCACAATGTGAACCGTTGCTTGGAGGAAAAAAGTGACGTGACAGTTCGAACCGTTGGCGATGTTGCATGTACTTCCACGAAATCGGTCACGAACGTTTGCGAAAAATGTAACCGCTTCGCAAACCAGACGGTCCACGGTTCGAACTGTCGAGGGCAAAAAGGAGACACGCCCTAAGAGGGTTGCAAAGTAAGGAAAGGGAAGTTTTCTTACACTCTTTTATCGTCGCTTGGCCTTTATTTGCAAAAGAAACTGCTGTGGCGGAGATGACCGATCGCACCGCGCCATGCTGCTTTTTGGCACTGTGCTGTGGTCGCCATGGTGGCAACACATTGGTTGGGTCCGGTGATACCGCTTCGTATGGTTTGACGCTTGCTTGGGTCTAGGCCTAGTCCAACCGAGCCTAGCTTTGCGGCCCAAATCTGCCTTTCTGCACGTAACCGAACCGGCGAAGAACTGGGCCAGCCCTCGGTGCATGCGGTAACTTCGTCAGGCAATGTCGTTGCATCGCATGTTCCCATGCGAGAGGATTTTATCAAATAGAGACAAACCTGAGGTAGGGTGGCTACCAATCGCCGCCAAAACTTCGGTGGCACACGGGCATGCCCCTGGTTCGCCAAACGAGCCGAACGCCTTCCACCCCCAAACTTCTGCTTTCTCTCCGCTCCCCGCGCCGCGACCTGGCAGGGTCGGCGGGTGATTCGGGCACGGTGCTTGACAGAGACGCAACGGAATCTGGTTTCGCATAAACAGACCAACCGGGAAAACCGAGGCCATCAGCAAGAGCAGCAGCCGGCCATCCATCTGTGTGTCAATCAATCCAAGTCAACGAAACAGCCACAGACTATTTTCACTTGACTGCCTCTCTGTCAGCAGCAAACTTGTTTGTGTAGTTTTCGCACCTGTGAGTAGAGATAGAAGGGGGGAAAAGAAGGCGAGGAAAGCAGGCACGAGGGACAGGCTAAGGTAGTTACTGAAGAAGACTTAGTTGCTGGAGCATGATAATGTCGGGAACCCGTGTTCTTCGCACAAAGTTTCAATAACCTGTGACGCCAGCAACTCGACACCCTAAGGCCGTCCACGTCCCTTTGGTTATCTCCGAGTGTTCAGGTAACAGCCTGCAATGCTCTCTTATGCTGCCCTCTTTCGTATTCCTGACGGTCCCTGGGTGTCGCTTGGCAATTCGAGGGCATATGCAGCGCGTGGTTGCACGCCGTGATGACCTCTCCCGCATTTCTCCCTCTTGCATTGCCATAAATTGCGTCGCATTGTATCGCAGCGTTTCTTCGGGCCCTCGACGCAGCGTCGCGTGCTAAGTCTCCAGTGTCAAACTCGCGGCCGCCATCACACGCCCTTCCTCGACTCAATATTCTCTCCCCTCTCTCTCTCCCCTCTCTCCCTTCCCTCGATCTTGTTACAGGCACACTGTCTTTCAAAGCAAGCTCGTGAGGAACCGTACTCTCGCGGAAACTGTTTCCCGTTTCAAGCCGCGTACACTTCGCTTATCACCGTCTCGAACGCTTCACCCTTCCGTCCAGCCAACCAATCATGACGCTTCCGTCCATCAACGTTCCCAAAATGCCTCGCGCTGCCAGCGAGCTCCTAAACGGCTCGTATTTTGGTAGCCGAAGCGCGCGCGAGAGCCTTCCGACGCTCAGCACCCAGAGCAGCAGCCTATCATATCGAAGCCTATCGACGCGCAGCGAGCCGGCGCTGAGCAGCGGCGGAGAGATGGCGGAGCTCGAGCACCAGAGCTCCGCCGGGGGAAAGGCGCAAGCGGGGGGGGAAGCGGAGGGCGGAAAGACGGCGCAGCAGAAGCAGCAGTGGGGCGCGTGGCACGCGCAGGTGCAGCAGCTGTGGGGAAGCAGCAGCCAGCTGCTGGCGCGGTACACGAGCGGGGGGAAGGTGGCGTCGCTCGAGAACAACTGCGCCATGCAGAGCGCGTGGAACCCCGTGGGCGCGCAAGGGGAATCCGACCGACCACAGCACGTCGTGATTTACATCTGTGAATCGTGACCTTGGGTTCGGGACGTGGGTGGAAAGTGGCAGGTCAGGGTAGTAGGGAGAGTAGATTAGTGTGTAACGAGCATTGCTGGGGTAAGGTGGCTTAGGGGTGTGCTGACAGGCTGGCTGGCAGTGGCTGACAGTGTGTGATAAGCGGATTTCTCCTGTGATTTGACGCTAGTAAGCAGCAGCCTGGTAAGCAAGCATGGCCCTGTCAGCTCCGTGAGAGCAGCAACTGCATTCTCTGTGTTGTCTTCGGTTCCAGCCCTCAAATCTCTACCTCTGTAGATAGCAATTTGTTTTCAGTTTGATGATGTGTTTGGTTCGTAGTTCTAATTCGCAATGTTTCGGATGCTGATTCCGTTCAAAATGGCTAGCTATGCATCATGTCATTGCTCGTTGAGGAAATGGAAGTGAATGAATCCTCTTCAACTTTGCTATGATGTACCGTACCCAACAAGCTTATTGTCATTGTACTACACTCAACTGTTTTCTCAAACAGATTCATTTCAAATTACTGTGAGCGCCACGAAGATGATCAAAACTTGGGAATGTTCGGTTCGGATCAACACTTGACCCTCCTGCCCCTGACCAAATCGATTACTTCTTGCTCAAGCGTCCATCATCCCACCTTCCGCTTGGACGGCTGTTTGCTGCTGCGGCGCTCACTCTGTACATTGCTCGAGACTGCCGTCAGATCGCTCGCCGCCGGTGCACGCATCGCGTCGGCTTCGCGCGCCGCTTGATTTCCCTTGTTGCCTCGTCGCTTCTTTCCTGTTCTGTCTTTTCCTTTTCGTAGTGATGGCGACAGACTTCGCTCTACGATTCTCAGCCTATCGGGCTCCAGCACTGTGGGGAAGCGCAGCGAACGCGATCGCGAACTCGAGTAGAAGTCGGGAGCGCATGCAGCAGCTTAGGCCAGCTGGCGCTGTACACGTCAGCATAGGTTCTTGTCCGCCTGGATTCCGTCTATCCGGATTTCGTCCATCTGGATTCCGTTTACGTTCCGCTCAACGTCCGTTAGACTTATCCGATTCAGGCGGGGGTGATGTTTGCAGCCGGTCGAGGGAGACTCGATCCTCGTTAGTGAGTGCCCCCCTAAGAGATTCCTTCGCCACGCTTGCTCGTGCCCTTCCCATCCCTTCGGCCTCGTCGTCGCATCGGCCTCCCCTACATCTCGTACGCGCACTCCCCGATTCCGGATCTGTAACGAGTATAGATACTTCCAAACCGTTACAGGCGGCAGCAGGCGAGGAGCGATCGTTGCTGAAGGAGGAGAGAGTGGAAGGGAGGGAGGCAGAGGGAGAGAGAGATGCGGGTGGGAGGGTAGGGGAAGAGAAACTGCCGAACCAGGCGAGAGCGGAGGTCGCGGAGCAGCAAGAGAAGGAGGCGGATAAGGAGGAGAAGAAAGAGGAGGAAGTGAAAGAAGGGAAAGAAGAATCAGAAGAGGGGGACGACGAGGATCCCGAGGTGGAGGCGGGCTTTAAGATGTCGCGCGTGTGCGACCGGCTGGTGGACGTGTTCTGGGTGGAGAAGCCCGACCCCGCGCAGTGGCGCCTGCTGCTCGCCTTCAGCGCCGAGTGGGCGCGCATCCGCCCGCACTTCTTTGCGCGCGCCAAGCTGCGCGCGCGCGAGTTCGAGGAGCAGGGCAAGCCCGACAAGGCCGCGGAACTGTACCGCCTGGCACGCAGGCTCAAAGAGGTGGGGCTGTGCGAGGTTTGGGGTTTTTGACTCCCGGATAGGGGTTTGGGAGTGGGGTGTTCAAAGCGCAAGGGTTATGGGGTTTAAAGTTGAGACTGTAGAGTTTTGGTCTTTGAGTTCTTGCGGGGGTGTTGAGCATGCAGGTGCGGTTGCACTCGTCGGAGCCTCCATGAGCGTACCATGCTGGTGAGGTGAATGCGCTGATCTTATCATTCATGTCAGTGGATTGTTGTGTTATGGCAAGCAAGTAAGCAAGCAAGTAAGTAAGCAAGCAAGCAAGTAAGCAAGCAAGCAAGTAAGCAAGCAAGCACGTAAGCAAGCAAGCAAGTAAGCAAGCAAGCAAGTAAGCAAGCAAGCAAGCAAGCAAGTAAGCAAGTAAGCAAGTAAGCAAGTAAGCAAGTGAGCAAGTTAGCAAGCAAGCAAGTTAGCAAGCAAGTAAGCAAGTAAGCAAGTAAGCAAGCAAGCAAGTAAGCAAGCAAGCAAGTAAGCAAGCAAGCAAGTAAGCAAGCAAGCAAGTAAGCAAGCAAGCAAGTAAGCAAGCAAGCAAGTAAGCAAGCAAGCAAGTAAGCAAGTAAGCAAGTAAGCAAGTAAGCAAGCAAGGAAGCAAGTAAGCAAGTAAGCAAGTAAGCAAGCAAGCAAGCAAGCAAGTAAGCAAGTGAGCAAGTGAGCAAGTGAGCAAGTAAGCAAGTGAGCAAGTGAGCAAGTGAGCAAGTAAGCAAGTGAGCAAGTGAGCAAGCAAGCAAGTAAGCAAGCAAGTAAGCAAGTAAGCAAGTAAGCAAGCAAGCAAGCAAGCAAGCAAGTAAGCAAGTAAGCAAGTAAGCAAGTGAGCAAGCAAGCAAGCAAGTAAGCAAGTAAGCAAGTGAGCAAGTGAGCGAGCAAGCAAGTAAGCAAGTAAGCAAGTAAGCAAGCAAGCAAGTAAGCAAGTAAGCAAGTGAGCAAGTGAGCAAGCAAGCAAGTAAGCAAGTGAGCAAGTGAGCAAGCAAGCAAGTAAGCAAGCAAGCAAGTAAGCAAGTAAGCAAGTAAGCAAGTGAGCAAGTGAGCAAGTAAGCAAGTGAGCAAGTGAGCAAGCAAGCAAGTAAGCAAGCAAGTAAGCAAGTAAGCAAGTAAGCAAGCAAGCAAGCAAGCAAGTAAGCAAGTAAGCAAGTAAGCAAGTGAGCAAGCAAGCAAGCAAGCAAGTAAGCAAGCAAGCAAGTAAGCAAGTAAGCAAGTGAGCAAGTGAGCGAGCAAGCAAGTAAGCAAGTAAGCAAGTAAGCAAGTAAGCAAGTAAGCAAGTGAGCAAGTGAGCAAGTGAGCAAGTGAGCAAGTGAGCAAGTGAGCAAGCAAGCAAGTAAGCAAGTGAGCAAGTGAGCAAGCAAGCAAGTAAGCAAGCAAGCAAGTAAGCAAGTAAGCAAGTAAGCAAGTGAGCAAGTGAGCAAGTAAGCAAGTGAGCAAGTGAGCAAGCAAGCAAGTAAGCAAGCAAGTAAGCAAGTAAGCAAGCAAGCAAGCAAGTAAGCAAGTAAGCAAGTAAGCAAGTGAGCAAGCAAGCAAGCAAGCAAGTAAGCAAGCAAGCAAGTAAGCAAGTAAGCAAGTGAGCAAGTGAGCGAGCAAGCAAGTAAGCAAGTAAGCAAGTAAGCAAGTAAGCAAGTAAGCAAGTGAGCAAGTAAGCAAGCAAGTAAGCAAGTAAGCAAGCAAGCAAGCAAGCAAGCAAGTAAGCAAGTAAGCAAGTAAGCAAGTGAGCAAGCAAGCAAGCAAGCAAGTAAGCAAGCAAGCAAGTAAGCAAGTAAGCAAGTGAGCAAGTGAGCGAGCAAGCAAGTAAGCAAGCAAGTAAGCAAGTAAGCAAGTAAGCAAGCAAGCAAGCAAGCAAGCAAGTAAGCAAGTAAGCAAGTAAGCAAGTGAGCAAGCAAGCAAGCAAGTAAGCAAGTAAGCAAGTGAGCAAGTGAGCGAGCAAGCAAGTAAGCAAGTAAGCAAGTAAGCAAGCAAGCAAGTAAGCAAGTAAGCAAGTGAGCAAGTGAGCAAGCAAGCAAGTAAGCAAGTGAGCAAGTGAGCAAGCAGGCAAGTAAGCAAGCAAGCAAGTAAGCAAGTAAGCAAGTAAGCAAGTGAGCAAGTGAGCAAGTAAGCAAGTGAGCAAGTGAGCAAGCAAGCAAGTAAGCAAGCAAGTAAGCAAGTAAGCAAGTAAGCAAGCAAGCAAGCAAGCAAGCAAGTAAGCAAGTAAGCAAGTAAGCAAGTGAGCAAGCAAGCAAGCAAGCAAGTAAGCAAGCAAGCAAGTAAGCAAGTAAGCAAGTGAGCAAGTGAGCGAGCAAGCAAGTAAGCAAGTAAGCAAGTAAGCAAGTAAGCAAGTAAGCAAGTGAGCAAGTGAGCAAGTGAGCAAGTGAGCAAGTGAGCAAGTGAGCAAGCAAGCAAGTAAGCAAGTGAGCAAGTGAGCAAGCAAGCAAGTAAGCAAGCAAGCAAGTAAGCAAGTAAGCAAGTAAGCAAGTGAGCAAGTGAGCAAGTAAGCAAGTGAGCAAGTAAGCAAGCAAGCAAGTAAGCAAGCAAGTAAGCAAGTAAGCAAGCAAGCAAGCAAGCAAGCAAGTAAGCAAGTAAGCAAGTAAGCAAGTGAGCAAGCAAGCAAGCAAGCAAGTAAGCAAGCAAGCAAGTAAGCAAGTAAGCAAGTGAGCAAGTGAGCGAGCAAGCAAGTAAGCAAGTAAGCAAGTAAGCAAGTAAGCAAGTGAGCAAGCAAGCAAGTAAGCAAGCAAGTAAGCAAGTAAGCAAGCAAGCAAGCAAGCAAGCAATTAAGCAAGTAAGCAAGTGAGCAAGTGAGCAAGCAAGCAAGCAAGCAAGTAAGCAAGCAAGCAAGTAAGCAAGTAAGCAAGTGAGCAAGTGAGCGAGCAAGCAAGTAAGCAAGTAAGCAAGTAAGCAAGTGAGCAAGTGAGCAAGTGAGCAAGTGAGCAAGTGAGCAAGTGAGCAAGCAAGCAAGCACGAGGAACCAGTGATGCGGCGCAGTGAGCCCGTGGTTGGCACGACTCTGTGAGGGGCTGCTGGCTTGGCGTGGCAGGCTCGCCTGTGAGCTGCTGTGCCTCCTCCTTTTCTCTGTGGGGGAATCTTCAAATCGTTTAAGTCGAGTGACAAGGGCACGGCTCTCAGGGGGGTGGTGGCGGCAGAGAGAAGAGAGGCTCACCCCTAGGCTCTCGGTCCGCTGCCCTCCTGTCGGCCCTTCCCCAGGTGGACGACTCAATGACGGCACACAACGAGCTCTTCTCATTGGTGGAGGAGCACGAGGCGGAGGGCGCGCTGGAAGGGCTGGTGGCGAGGCGGCGGAGGGACTTCACGGGGGAGTTCTTTGAGCACCTGCAGATCCTGTGCCTGACCCACCATGATAACCCTCAGCGGCAGGACGGTGAGCGGGGGATGGGGAGTGGTGGGAATGGTTAAAGGGTGAGTGGGAGTGGTTGGGTTGGGACGTCACGGGGGAGTTGTTTGAGCATCTGCATATCATGTTCCAGACCGACCATGATAACCCTCAGAGGCAGGACGGTGAGAAGATGAGGGGTGCAGGGCGAGGTGAGGGACACTTCTTGAGTCTGCACGGGGCTTCAAAAGAACTCCGTGGGGTGATCCTTTGAGCATTTGCAGATCATGTGTCACGCCAGCCGTGACAACCCGCAGCGACAGCACTGTGAGTGGTACAAGGGTGAGATGTGATGTGAGTGGTAGAAGAGTGAGTGAGAGTGAAGGGGCGGAGTCCTTTGAGCACCTGCAGAGGCTGTGCCAGGCCATGCATGACAACCCACTCATGGCAGGACGGTGGGTGGCGAGATGGGGTGTGTGTGGCACTTCAAAGGGGATCTTACTCGGGAGTAGTGTTCAGCAACTGCAGGCCATGTCGTGCCCGTGCACCTGCTGTGCCTGCATCTTCACAGCAAGAGGACAAGCTTCACCCTCACTTTCTCTACCTGTGTCTACTCTACCTGGCTGCACTGCACCTGTCCCTACGTTACATACCCCCCCTTTCCATGTGCAGAGATCGCATCCCTGGCAGCCAAGTGTGTAACAGCAGTTGACATTCACGACTAGGTCGAAGTAGACGAGGCAGCAGCAGTGCAGGCGGCGTAAACCAAGTTTGACGACATCATGGGGAGTGAGCCTGGCAGAGGCGTGTGGGAAGATCGACCAGTCTGTACCTGCCTGTACCTGTCCGTCTCCCCTTTCTTTCCTCATGCACGGATTGCATCCCTGGCAGCCAAGTGTGTGACAGCGGTGGACATTCACGACAAGGTGGAGGCAGATGAGGTGGCTCTGGAGGCGCCACAGGCCAAGTTTGACTCTCTTTACCTGTTTCAACCTGTCTCTACCTCTCTCTACCTGTCTGTACATATCTCCCATTATCCATTGCAGAAATCGCATCCCTAGCAGCCAAGTGCGTGACAGCGGTGGACATTCACGATAAGGTGGAGGCGGATGAGGTGGCGGTGGAGGGAGCTCATTCTAATGTTGCCTCTCTCTATATGTCTGTCTGTGCGCATCTCCCGTTGCCCCATGCAGAGATCGCATCCCTGGCAGCCAAGTGTGTGACAGCGGTGGACATTCACGATAAGGTGGAGGCGGATGAGGTGGCGGTGGAGGCGGCTCAAGCCAAGTTTGACGACATCATGGGTAGCGCCAGCCTGGCAGAGGCGTGTGGGAAGATCGACCAGCTGGCGGCGCGGCAGCAGCTGGACTCGACGCTCATGCTCATGATCACCAAGGCATGGGCTGCTGCCAAGGAGAGCAACATGATGAAGGATGAGGTGCGATAGGGAGATGCAATGGAGGATTAGGTGAGGAGATGAGAGGAGGGAGAGGGAGGGAGAAAGGTTGAGATGAAGAGAGAAAGGTGGAGCCTCATACCTTACCGATCTGTTTCTCTCGATCATTTGGGGAAGGTCAGCGTGCACCACATGGATAAGCAGGCGCAGAGCAACATGCGCATGCCTTACCCATGTGCCTTGATGTACCATCATTCTTCCTCTCACCCACGTGGTGAAGGACACCATGTACCATCTGTTTGTACAAGCAGGCGCAGATCTACTTGCACGTGGCTGTGCTCCAGCCCACACCATTCTGTTCCTTCGCCTGCTGTGTTTTTCACCCTCATATACGTGCACACTGCCATACCACCGCCCTCAGGTGAAGGACATCATGTACCATCTGTACAAGCAGGAACAGATCAACAGGCACATGACGCCTTACCCATGTGCCTTCATGTACTTATTTTTCCTCACCCCCCCCCCCAGGTGAAGGACATCATGTACCATCTGTACAAGCAGGCGCAGATCAACATGCGCATGCTCGTGCCCAAGGAGGTGCGCATCCTGCGCCACGTACTCGCTATAGACGACCCCCGCCAGCAGCTCACAGAGCTCACCAACGCCTTCTCGCCCGGTGGAGAACTGGAAGTGCAGAATGCCTCAGAAGACATGCTCTACACGTAAGCATCAGAATTTGACTGGCTAGCTCTGCTCCCTTTCCTACAACTTTGCTCCCTTATCTCTATGGTAGCTTTGCTCCCTTTCCTCTCCTTTCTGCAGTTAGCGCTTTGGTTGGTCAGTACTTCGTGGTTGTCTGGCTTACTGTTTCGTGCTTGCTGCCTGCTGTTACTGTTTCTGCACAGAACACCGGAGAAGCTCTTGGAGGTGATAGAGCAGGTGCTGGATGCGTACTATGCGCAGCGCAGGCAGCAGAGCTCGCTGATTGACGAGGCCAAGAAGCTCATGAACCCAGCGGTGATTGCCAGAATGGAGGTGCTGAAAGACATGATAGTCGATCAGTTTATGTAGACCCCTGCATGTGATATACACTCTCAAGGCAATGATTTCATCTGAAGTAGAAGAATCATCTTCACTGTCAGGCTCTTTTCTTGGGCTCTTATCTGGCATTGATGACCAAGTACTGGGAACATCTGTTTTTGGGCGCCAGCTAACCCAAGCTACGGGATCAGTACAGCAGTACAAGCATCGGGTATAGACAGGAATACAATGCTTCTGGAGGGTCCGAAGGAACATCAGCTGTGTATTATACTTGGTGGTTGCTCAATCACCTGATAACAAGAATTACGAACAAATGGTATACCTGCGATTAACTTTCGTACATTTAAAAGAGTAGCATCGTCAAATACGGCCCTAAACAGCAGACAGGGCATTGTCTGACAGGTCAAATTGCTGCGCAAGGCGATCCAACTGACCCTTCACGCTCATGTCAATGAGTTGGGAGCCATCCTTGCCGTACTTCACGATGAAGCCAGCGATCAGAGACGAATCAACCACGTTCTTAAGCTTGATGTTCTTCGCACCGGTCATGCTCTGCAGCTTCTTCGCGATCAAGGCCTGCTGCGAGTTCTCTAGCTTCACAGCCGAAGTCACAATGGCGACCTGAGTATCGGTGATGTCGCAGTACAGCTCCTCGAACACTGCGGCGATCTCCTTGAAAATGCCCATCCGCTTCTTGTCAACAAGAACATTCAGGAAGTTCGCGGTGTAAGCGTTGAAGCCGGAATCAGCTGCAAGGCTCTTGATCACAGCCTTCTTCTGCTCGTCCGAAGCGACGGGGCTGGCCAAGAAGTTAGCGAGCTCGGCGTTGTTGATCATACCAGAGAGGGCCTCCACGTCCTTGTGGATGGCCTCAAGGGACTTGGTCGATTGGCCAAGCTCAATAAGGGCAGCTGCGTAGCCGGCAGCAGCGGGGGCCTTTGCCATGGTGACGACAGACCTGCTGGCCTTGCCAGCAGCCACTGGCACCTTGGCGACGAGAGCATTGCGACGAGCACCGCCGAAGAGGGTCGTCTTTGACGCAGCAACGGTGCTGCGAGCAGAGAAAGACTCTGAAGTCCTGGCAGCGGCCGCCACGCAAGGACAGGACACAACGTTCCTAGCAACAGCCTCCATTGCTGCAGGCGTTTGGTAAGGCTGCTGGGAGTGGATAGAGGCAGGAGATAGCCTCAGGAACGTGATGGGTCTGTTGAAAGGAAAATCGGGTCTTGGGGTTTCCTAGCAGCCTTGGGGTTTCCAACTCCAAGGTGCCAACGGAACAATGGGAGTCGCAAGGGGGAGGAGGGAGGCTGTCGCTGTGGCAGTCGTGGCTTAGGCGGGAGATTGTGAAAGGCCGAGCGGAGGAGAGTGGATGAGGGCATGCCAGATGGGAGGCATGGAGTGGTGGACGATTTTCGGATGCAAGCACACCTCACATAGCGGCTACACACGCCACGCTGGAATTTAGGTCCAGGTAGAAACGTAAACCGTTGGATTCAGCAATCGAACGGTGATGGTAAATATTTTTACCCGTGCGTTATCCGCAATCCCGGGGATGCGCTCGATCGACCAGAAACTTTACCCGATTTTGCCACGTCTGCAGTAAACAGAAGAGATCTGTCCCCATCAAATCACTATTCATAACACAATTCGATCAATTGAACTGTCCGATCTGAGGGGCGTACTTCCCGTTCGCAAAGGTTGGGGCAGGAATGGCATCATGGTCACAGGTACTTCCCAACAGAGATTTTTTCTATATACCCTTTTCTTCTCCAAAGGCACAAAACTTCAAACTTAAAGCTGCGGTCTACATACTAAAAGGGGGTTTTGGGGGGTAATCTAGGTGCATACCCTTTGGTGCACGATGACTTGAGAGCGAAGTGTGGTTTTCCCCCAAACACCTATGCGATGAATTCGCTCAAAGTTGGCGATGTGAAACAATTTCGCGATTGGGTTTTCTTGGGGGAACAAATCTGCGGAAAGGCGGAAATTTCAGCGCCAAACACTTACAACCAAGCGGAAAGTTTTGCGCCCACCCCACTCCCTCCTTCCGCCTAGATCGTTCGTTTCTTCTGGAGAGTCTGCTACCCTGTATTCAAGTGATAAACCAGGGCCTGTCCCTCGAGGTATGTAGACCGCACATGAAAGTGGTGACAGTTTTGGGGCCGACACGGTAATTCTGGATGTGTCCTTTAAGCCTACTTTATTCCACTATACAAAGTTGTGAATTAAAGCCATTGGCCCGAATTGCACACTTTTTAAAAAGTTGATACGCGGGGGTTTTTCTGGTCTGGGGTTTGGCTAGTGATTCCGATTTCGTTTTCTTCGTTTTTTTCGCCAAACCCAGCATGCCCTCGTATTTCGCCCTTTAAGGTTGGGCCAGTCTCTGAAAGTCCCAAATTGCATGTCCCAACGTCATCAAGTTATAAAACCTTGATCCGCGCGCTCCGCAATTTCAGTCGCGGGCTTTAAGTGCAAGAGGATACAAATTGAGATGGCCTGTTGAAAATGGATATATCAAATATTCACCTCAGTCTTGAACTCATCGGTAGCAATGTTAGGCTTGTTAGCACCTGTTTTTTGCGTTCACATCTATTCTTGGCTTGACCTTTCAATAAAACATGTGCTGATGAAGAACCCTATATAGTGCAATATAGGTTGGGCTCGCAATTACAATTTACAACGCACATAATGTACGAAGTTGATACGTAAAATTACAATTCATAATTTGGATGATTTGGGACGTAATCGACAACGTAGCAGCACCGACGTGTGTCAGATTTATATGACATAGCTACTGTAGGCTAGAGTGGGGTAGCACATATGGGGTACAGTTTTCTAGGGTTTGCTTCTTGTACCCAACTTTCACTTAGTCATTCTCATTCCTGTATTTCTTGTTTCACATGGTATAGAGCGGGTTCCTACATGGGACCGTTCCTTCCTAAGGGCCCACCATAAGAATTTTTTTTTTAGCTGCCCGCGCACATTGCGCCCTGCCCTAATTTTTTTTTTTTTTTAGCGGCCCCTACGCTGCCTCTACGCGGCCCCTACGCCGCCTCCCACGCGCCCCCTATGCGGCCCCTGGCGGCGCCCTGACGAGGCCCCTGCCGGCGCCCTATCGCGGCCCCTGACGCGCCCCCTGGTGGCGCCCTGACGCGGCCCCTGGCGGCGCCTGACGCGGCCCTGACGCGGCCTGACGCGGCCCCTGGCGGCGCCCTGACGCAGCCCCTGCCGCGGCCCTGACGCGGCCTGACGCGGCCCCTGGCGGCGCCCTGACGCAGCCCCTGCCGCGGCCCTGACGCGGCCCTGCCGCGCCCCCTGACGCGGCCCTGACGCGGCCTGCCGCGGCCCCTGCCGCGGCCCTGAAGCGGCCCCTGACGCGGCCCTGACGCGGCCCTGACGCGGCCCTGCCGCGACCCCTGGCGGCGCCCTGACGCGGCCCCTGACGCGGCGCCCTGACGCGGCCCCTGCCGCGGCCCTGACGCGGCCCTGCCGCGGCCCCTGACGCGGTCCTGACGCGGCCTGCTGCGGCCCCTACCGCGGCCCTGAAGCGGCCCCTGACGCGGCCCTGAAGCGGCTCTGCCGCGGCCCTGACGCGGCCCTGACGCGGCCCCTGACGCGGCCCCTGCCGCGGCCCCTTACGCGGCCCTGACGCGGTCCTGCCGCGGCCCCTGGCGGCGCCCTGACGCGGCCCCTGACGCGGCGCCCTGACGCGGCCCTGCCGCGGCCCCTGACGCGGCCCCTGCCGCGGCCCCTGACGCGGCCCCTGACGCGGCCCCTGTCGCGGCCCCTGACGCGGCCCCGCCACCTACCTTTCTGGCCCCGCCGCCTCCTCTCAGCGGCCCCGCCGCCTCCTCTCAGCGGCCCCGCCGCCTCCGCCCAGCAGCCTAGCCGCCCAGCAGCTGAGCCACCGAGCCGCCCAGCAGCCGAGCCGCCGAGCCGCCCAGCAGCCGAGCCGCCCAGCAACAGAGCCGCCGATCCGCCCAGCAGCCGAGTCGCTGAGCCGCCCAGCAGCCGAGCCGCCGAGCCGCCCAGCAGCCGAGCCGCCCAGCAGCCGAGTCGCCGAGCCGCCCTGCAGCCGAGCCGCCCGAGCCGCCCTGTCCGGTAAGAGCAGCGCCTCTCTCACAGCACTGCCCTCACCCCACTGTTTGCGCTGCTAGTCTACTACTGTCATGGCTACCCCTAGTGTCCTCGCTTTTGACGCTGAGGGTCGGGCCATTGACTTTGACGTCTGGATAGATGACCTGCAGCTTTTCTTACAGTGCGATAGGGCAGACGGCCTCTCCCTCTTTGACCTCACTTCTGGTGCCTCTCCTGCTCCCGCCACTGATGCTGACGCAACTGTTCGCTCCCAGTGGGCCACGCGCGATGCTGCTGCGCGTCTTGCTGTGCGTCGCCACCTGCCTACCTCTGAGCGTGCGCACTTTAGCCAGTACAAGAGTGCTCAGACCTTGTACGACGCTGTAGTTGCACGCTACTCCTCCCCTGCCACTGCTGCACTGAGCCGCCTCATGCTACCGTACCTCTTCCCTGACCTTGCTGCCTTTCCCACAGTCGCTGACCTCATCACGCACCTCCGCACTAGTGACACTCGCTACCGCGCTGCACTTCCTGCTGAGTTCTGCGCCAAGAACCCCCCCCCCATGTACATCACCCTCTACTACATCGTCACCCGTCTCCCTGACTCCCTTCGCGTAGTCAGGGACCACTTCCTCTCGGTTTGTCCCACCACTCTCACCGTTGACCTCCTCGAGAAGGCCCTCCTAGCAGCAGAAAAGAGCATAGTCGCTGTAGGAGCCTCTCGTGGTGACCCTCGCACCCCCATCTTTGAGGGGTGTTCCCCCTCCCCTCTTTTGCCCTCTGTTGCCTCTGCTGCTGCGGCTGACCTCGCTGGTTTGGAGTCGGTTGGGGCAGCGTCTACCCCTAGCGGGAGACGCCGCCCTGGCAGGGGCAAGGGGGGCAGGGGCGCTGGAGGAGCTAGCGGGGGCGGTGGAGGCGGCGGTGGAGGTGGTGGAGGAGGTGGTGGTGGCGGTGGGAGTGGTGGCGGGGGTGGAGGTGTAGGTGGCGGCAGTGGAGGCGCAGGAGGCAGCGGCGGTGGCGGAGGGAGCGGAGGTGGCGGCGGTGGAGGAGGAGGCGGCGGAGGAGGTGGAGCTGGTCGGGGTGGTGCTGCGCAGAGGGTCAGCTCCGGTGGTGGTCAGCGCCAGCAGCAGCAGCAGCAGCAGCAGCAGCAGCGCACTCGTGACGTCCCCTCCCCTCAGCAGCTCCGTGAGTGGTACACTGCACGCCAGAGGGGTGGGGGTGCTGGTCCGTGCACCTACGTCCTGCGCACCGGCGACCGCGCGGGTGAGCAGTGCGGGGGTGCGCACTCCACCCAGCGCTGCTTTGGCCGCCTCACGGACGCTTGGCGTCACCAGTTCCCTGAGGCCACTGAGATCCCCCGCTGGGGTGAGCTGTCTAGGGCGGGTGTAGCTGTCTTTGACCTTGACTTTGATGCTATTCTTGCTGCCGTGTATACTGTGACTATTAGTGATGAGGGTGACTGTTACCGGTGTTTTCCGCCCGACCCGGGCATTGAGACTGCTGCTCTAGGTACTGGTGAGGCTGCTGCTCTAGGTGCTAGCGAGGCTGCTGCTCTAGGTGCGTCTACTCCCTCAGGTGCTGGTGAGCCTGCTCTCTCAGGTTCTGCGTCGGCTTCGGCCTCCCACACCTTCACACTTGACTCGGGGGCTTCTCGCTCCTTCTTTCGAGACCGCACCACACTCACGCCGCTTGGCCGGCCAGTTGCGGTCTCCCTGGCAGACCCCTCTGGGGGTCCTGTCCTTGCTCACTTCTCCACTGTCCTCCCATGTCCGGCGGCCCCCTCTGGCACCCTGTCTGGTCTCTACCTCCCCTCGTTCTCTACGAACTTGGTGAGTGGTGCTGACCTACAGGATGCGGGGGTTCACCAGTTCACTCCTGCGAGTCAGCGGGTGACCCACTGCACGGACGCTCGGACAGGCCGCCACCTGGCCACGTTTACACGTCGGCCAGGGTCGAGCCTGTACACACTGACCACTGCGTCTCCTCCAGTCCCTGCGTCTGGTCAGGTAGCTGCGTCGGGTCAGGTGTTTGCTGCAGCGTCCAGGTCTGGTCCTGAG